ACAGCACAACACAGTCAACTAGAAAACTAGGCTACAGGAGAACAGTTATAGGAGCTAGTACACAAAGTTGGCACTCTAATGTGCTACTCAAGTGTATTAGAGTTATTGCTTTTGAGTACTGTCGAGTCAGAGGCAGTAAATCTCAGGGGAGGAGATTGTCCATCATTCTCCCATTGAGCTGCTGGTGGATTTGAACCATGTCTTTAGAATTATAGTTCAGCTTCTTACCACTAGATCATGGCAGTAAAAGGTGGATAATGCTTCCTGACCAATGTTAACCCTGATCCTAGAAAATACATGGGGCTGAAGCTTGCATGAGAGAAACAAGTAGCTTTGACTCTGAGAAGAGGAGAATATAGAGGCACAAATGCAGATAGGACTTGCTACTCAGGGCCTGGCCTCTGCAAAGCTACTAATAAAAACAATTGAACAAAGATATAATTGGCTAACTACTTTCATGTTTTCCAACACATTTTAGTCTGAAAAAAATATTTGGAGTGTTCATGTAAATATACTTCTGGACAAAGTGTGGGAGAGGTGCAGAAAGCAAGAGACCAAGTGTACTTAAGTGTCAGCCAGGCTAGAGACCTTTACAGACACAATTTGGCTACATTGTGCAAAGGAGGCATCTGAATGTTTTACCAGGTTTGCATCTATGTGCTGTCAAAGGGGCCTTCCCTGCACCGCAATCCCAGAGGAACACGGTTCGAATCCACCAGACACTCTGCCGGAGAAGGAGGCGCAATATCCTCCTGTACCAGTCAGATCTGATTTGACGGTACACACACACAAAATAAAATAAATAAATAAATAAATAAATAAATAAGGGGGCCTTCCCCAGAGCTGAGTTCACCTGCCCATTCCTACATCAGAGAGAAAAGGACAACATGAGGTAGAGAGTAAAAGGAGGAGATGGGACACCTCAAAAAGAAAACAGCCACCTGATGCCAATCTGGCTTTACATTTGCCACTTTCAGAGTCAGAAACAGTTGACCAGAGCCATTACGTCAAAAGTTGTGCAATTTTAACTTAGCTTCATGCTTTGTGCTTGGGTTAGTATCTGCTGCTCTTCTCATGCAGTGATTAGCCTCCCAACTTCTAGAAAAAAAAAGTCAGTAAATATTTTCTGTAAAGGGCCTGATAGTTGTCCAATAAATATTTCAGACTTTGCAGGCCTCTGTTACAACTGCTCCTTGCCTTAAAACTGTCATAGACAATGTGCAAACAAATGCTCATCGTCACATTCCATTTAAGACTTTGTTTACAAAGGCAAGCAGGGGCCCAGATTTGCACAATGCACTGTAGCTTGTCAAACTCTGCTCTAAACCCATAAATGACCTGTTGGTTTATCATTAGAAGGCATGAGGGAAGGGAGAAACCAGGGAAACTGCAATACATTCTAAAACCAGCTATCAGAGAGAATGTCCAAATAGAAAAGCTATGGGGGGAAAGAAAACAGATTGAGAATGTGATCCCTACTGTACAAAGAAGGAAAGGATCTCAGAAAGCAAGACTGGCTTTTAGGAGAGATAATGAGGCTGCACATTGGAAAGTCTTGTGTGAAAACCAACACCTTTTCCTGATTAAAACACCCAACAAAATAGAAATAGAGGGAAATTTCCTCAATATAGTGAAAAGTACACACACAAAACGAAGAGTTAACATTGTTCTAAATGGAGAGAAATTAAAGGCATTCCCTTTGAGAACAGGAACTAGGCAAGGATGCCCATTATCACCTTTCCTACTCAACATTGCATTGGAAGTCTTAACGATAGCAACAAGAAAAGAGAAGGAAATAAGAGGTATCCGAATTGGCAAAGAGGAGGTGAAAACCCTAAAGACTCAGAGAGAAAACCATTGGACACAGTTGATCAATTCAGCAAAGTGGTAGGATGCAAGATCAACATACAAAAATCTATGGTGACAAAGAGAATACAGAAAAGGAGTGAAGAAAAACAATACCCATCACAATCACTAACCACAACATTAAATACTTGAGAGTAAATCTAACTAGAGACACAAAAGAGATATTGAAAGAAAATTACAAAACATTACTACAAGAAACAAAAAGATACTTGGAGAAATGGAAGAACATCCCTTGCTCATGGATAGGAAGATTCAATATTGTGAAAATGACAATTCTACTAAAGGCAATCTACAAGTTCAAAGAAATCCCAATGCAAATACCAATTGCCTTCTTCAATGAGATAGAAAAGGCAATTTCCAATTTTATCTGGAATGGAAAGAGATCCCGAATAATCAGAGCACTACTGCAAAAGAGAAACAAGATAGGAGGCATCTCACTCCCTTATCTCAAATCCTACTACACAGCTGTGGTGGTCAAGACAAAGTGCTGCTGGTACAGTGATGGTCACATAGAACAATGGAATAGAATTGAGAGCCCAGAAATCAGTTCATCTATCTATGGTCATCTACCTATGAGTTTGGAGACTCATGTGTGAAGTGGCTGGATTCTGGTTTCTCTTGTCTTGATGAGTGTCAGCTGCGGACTATTTGGTGGTTCTTTTTCATTCAGAGTCACGTGTGAGCTGATTGGATATGTGAGATTTAGCTAACAATGAGCTGTGGGCTGGAAGCCTCTTGGTTGAGTCAACCAGGACCTGACAGGTAGTCCTTTGATTTAAAAGGTGATAGGGGTGATAATTGTGTTTGGGATGAACATTCTTCTAAGTGGTACAGCACTGATCTGTCAATTTTATGTACTGGAGTAACTTGGGGTTGCTATGATGCTTAACACTGTGCCATTGGTGTATCAAATATTATAATGTCCACCCAATGTGGACAGTGATTGGTGGAGGTCCTAGATTGATTCAGGTGTTGCAATAGGAGTGGCATCCACTTCCTAAACCACATGCTTCTGGAAACTCTATGAACATAGAAAAACGATGATAGTTATAGAATAGGGCTCAGGTCTTTTGTTCACAGGGTTGCTCTGAGTCATGCTCAACTCGACAGCACTTAACAGCAAACCTCTGGTCAACTGATTAAAAAAAACACATGCACACCAAAAAAACCCCATCAAGGAGACGAAATCAGTTAAGTGGGGAAACAAAAGCCTCTTTAACAAATGCTGTTGGCAAAATTGGAAAACTATCTGAAGAAAACTCAAGCAAGAGCAATCTCACACCATACACAAAAATCAATTGAAAGTGGGTCAAGGACGTAGGACCAAGAACTATAAACTTCATCAGAGAAAAGCTTGGAAGAACTCTAGAAGCCCTAATCCATGATATGAACAGTCTTCCAAGCATAATGAAAATCTCACAACCAGGAGAAACTAAAATAAATGAATAGAACCTCCTAAGAATGTTATCCCTATGCACATCAAAAAAACTTCTCCAACAGGGTCAAAAGCAAAGCCACAGATGGAAAAACTATTTGGTAATGACATACCTGACAAGGGAGTCATACCTAAAATTTATAAAATACGTGAGCATTTCAACAAGAAAAAGGCAAATAATCCAATAGTAAAAGGAGGACAGGATATGAATAGACACTTCACCAAAGAAGACATTCAGATAGCAAACATATGAAGAAATGTTCAAAATCCCTAGCTTTCAGAGAAATGCAAGTAAAAACAACTATGGGGTATCACCAGTAACAATAGCAAAGTTCAGCAGAGCAGTAAACAACAAATACTGATGAGGTTGTGGAGAGATTAGAACTTTTATTCACTGCTGTAGGGAGGGAGTGTAAAATGGTGCAACCACTACTGAAGGCAGTTTCATGCTTTCCAAAAAAGTTGAAATAGAAATACCATTTGGCGCAGCCAATTCCACTACTAGGAATATGGCCCTAAAGAAATTAGAGCTGCCACCCAACTACACACACACACACACACACACACACACACACACGCTATTACTGTATTATTCACAATATCAAAGAGATGGAAGAAACCCAAGTGTCCATCAACAAATGAATAGATAGAAAAACTGTAGTGTACACAATGGAATACTACATAGCACTTGAAAAAACAAGGAATTAATAAAATACTACACAACATGGGTGACTCAGGAGGACATTACACTGAGTGAAATATCTCCATCACAAAAGGACAAATACTGCATAATACCACTGTAATTAAAGAGTACTGACATGAGGGTTGGTCTGGAAACTAAGAGGGGATAAATAATGAACACTACATTGGAACAGATTACAGAAAGAACTATTTAAAAGGAATATATGATTGGGTATTATTATTCCAGAATAAGAGATGCATAGCAAAGTGAACCGGGAAGCGGTGGGCAAGAAGAGAGAAAATTATGCAACAATGAATGAATATTTTTTAAAAAAAATTAACTGGGAGGACTTAGGAAGGAAAATGTACAACAATGGATGAATGAAAATCCATCTTTCCTGTAAACTTTCATTAGAATCACAATAAAAAAGAAAACCATCTACATAAGAAATAAGTTATGAACATAAGCAATTAGAAACAAACATTATGGAAAGCAGTCTGGCACTTTCTCAAAAAGTTGGAAATTGAAATACCATTTGACTCAGCAATTGCACTACTGGGAATATACCTAAAGAAACCAGAGCTACCACCCAAACAGCTGTATGCACACCCATGTTATTCACAAGAGCGAAGAGATGGAAGCAACTCAAGTGCCCATCAACAAATGATTGGATAGGAAAACTATAGTGTGGTCATACAATTGAATATTACACAGCACTGAAAACCAAGGAACTCATAAAACATTACACAACATGGGTGACTCTGGAGGACATTATGCTGAGTGAAGTACCTCAGTCTCCAAAGGACAAATACTGCATAATATCACTGTTATAAAAAAGGACCAACATGGGGGTGGGGGAAACTAAGAAAAGAGGATAAATAATGAACACTGCATATGGTTCAAAGCTCCTTTTCCTTTTTTTATATTTTGCAATGGGATTCTCCCCACCACAATATTTTTATGTTTAGTTCTTTTTCTTTGGTGAAGCACGAGTTTCTTTCACAGTTCCTGATAATTTTAAGCAGTTTGAACACCAGTGGCACTGTTACCTGCTGTCTGGACAGCCTCTTTAGCTTTGTGAGCTTGTAGTACAGCTACAGCTTCATCAACCGTAGAATGAAGAGACACTGGAGACTGAAGCATATGAAGAAGTTCTGAATTATCCATCTCCAGCAACATGCCAGTGACTTTACCAGCCAATGCAGGGTGTATGGCTTGAATAAGGGGAAAGAGCCTTTCACCCAACATATGTTTTTGCTCTTCACGTGAGGCAGATGCCAACTTGGAAGCAGTCAAAGGCTCTTGATCTTGTACATCAATAGCAGGCTGCTGCTTGGTAACTTGTGGTTGTGCATTAAGATGTTTTTGAGGATTGTCAACTCCCACAGCACATTCACCTTGGGGCATGGTGCAGATAGCAGCAGTAGGGGCTGCAGCAGCAACAACCGCAGAATGGGAACTAAAAGTCGGTGTTGATGTGTCGGCAACACATCGAGTAACTAGTGAAGCTGGTCTCACCGCACTAAATGGTGGTCTAGAAGCAGGTGGGTGGGTAGCACTGTTCTTATTTTGCAATGGATGAGGTCTGGCACCCTGAGCAGTCCAGCGAGGACTCGGTCTTAATCGAGGAATTTGGGTAGAAGAATAGTATGCAGCACGGTTCTGAGTCCTTGGGAAAGCTGCCATGAAGAAAGATGCTCGCTTGTAGCGGTTGATCACTGGGTTGCGTCCACCTCGGATGCGTGCCATTCTCTGCATGTACTGGTTAGTAAGGTGAGCTTGGCGATCTTCTTTGCTTTGAGCTAACGCTACATACAATGGCTTTGTGGCCACAGTTCTACCATTCATTTCTATAACTGCTTTAGTGGCTTCTTCTGGGGAAGAGAAACATACAAAACCGAATCCTTTGCTGCGACTGCCCTCCATCATAACCTTGGCACTAGTGATTGTACCATATGGAGAAAACACTTTGCGGAGACGTTTGTCATCAATACTGCCATCAAGATTTTTCACATATAAGTTAACTTGTTGGTTTTTGAGGAACCTATCTTGCTTCATCTTCTCATATTTGCGCTTAAGTTCCATCTGTCGTTCCACTTTTCTCTTAGCTCGACTAACATAAATTTTTTTCCCATTGAGTTCCTTTCCATTCATCTCATCAATGGCCTTCTGTGCGTCTTCATGCTTCTCAAAGTTCACAAATCCAAAACCTTTAGACTTCCCGCTTTCATCAGTCATTACTTTCACACTTAAAACAGGTCCAAACTTGCCAAACACATCTT